AGTCAGAAAACACGGTGTAAAATGTAGTTATCAAACTCCCTCATACTTGAATATTTTCTTGTTCTCAAGCAAAACCTCTACACATAAGAGAAAACCAGTAGCAATATTATTCTAGGCCATAGACTTCACTTTGATAATGGTCGTGTCGATAGTGTCGTACCCCAAATTTGTCCTACCTCGATGATTTTATTTTTCAAGATTAAAACTGATGGAATATTCAATTAAAGATGGTATATCAATATGTGATAGTCTGTCTTTATCCAACTAGGGGGTGTACCTTAAGTTCAAGAGAATGAGGCTATCTAAATCAGAGAGACTCATGTATCCGTAGGCCTATTAACGAAGCATGTTGGCCAATGACCCATGCGATTCAAAAATGGAAAATGATTTCAAAATTAATTATTAAGTTTAATTACAAAGTCATTTAGGTGTTAGTATTATTAGTATAAAGGGGGGTATAATTCTGAATTACAAGCCCATTAAGATTTCTTCTTTAGCTGGCCCAGGATGGATTTTTTTTGTCTTGAAGAATGATTGTTGTGGAAAAAAAAACCTTTTGTTGGTTAGGGCTCAATTCTTGGCCCATTTTGCATTTGTGAATTATAATCTGACCCATGTTTTATTAGTTAATTTATTGTTTATAGATTATTATTAGTTTTTAGAATAATCTATTGGATTGGATCAGATGTTCAAAGCCCTTTAGGCCCATTTGGCACTAAAAGAAAAAAGTGTTGTTGTAAAACAAAAGTGTTGTTTATAATAAAAAGCAAGTATTGATTGTTGAGTTGAGATTATGTTGGGCCCAATGTCCATTTACGCATGGGCTGAACAAAAATAGCAATGCAAGGCCAACAAAAAAAGTAACTAGCAGTTACTGTATCAATCAAACCAGAATTAACGCATATGATTGTTTCTTTACAACTACTGTAGAAATTGAGAAAAACATATCAAATCTAAAAGCTAAATCAAATCCAGAATTCATATATTACAAAAATCAAATCTCACAAAATCTGGAAATCAATTTACAATCTTACAATGAATCAATATCTCAGAATCAAGTCTTATTACAAAAACAAATCTCAAAAAACTATACGGATTACAATGTTACAGATTTGTTACTAAGAAAAATCAAATACAAATTTAAGATTTACAGAATCAATTAATCCCTAATCCCTAAATCTAAGGCTAACGAACTTTAACAACAATTCAAACCCTAAAATTCTAAAACCTATATATACTAAGGGATGAAGAACAAAGAGAGGGTTTTTTTTACAGAGTGAGAAGAGAAAGTACAGAGACAACAGAGGAATACAAAGGCAGAGAATACAAAAGAAGAGGAATTTTCAAAGACAGAGAAGAAGAAGAAGAAATTCTGGAGAGAGGACGAAAGGACTAATACTGATCTTGTTGAAGAAGGGAGAAGACGGTTAGGGTTTCAACATTTGAAACCCCAACCGCCGCTGTCATCACTCCACCGTCCGCCGCCGAGCTTTGATGTGACCTGAAAATTGAAGGAGAAAAGAAGAGGGTGATTAGCATAAACCCAGAAACTTGAGATCCAAAAATACAAAGGCGCAAAAAAGGGTAAAAACTTATCTTTTGATTTTGATTTTGATTGAGGGGTGATGGATAGGTTTACAATAGGAGGCTCCATATTATGATAGTGCCGCTGCGGGGAGCTTCGGGTTAGGTCGAAGAAGAGGATACTGGTTCGAGGAAGAGAGAAGAGTTTGCGGGTTGGTAGCGAAAGAGAGAGGATAGAATCTACTGTAAACGACAATGAATTGTACACAAAAATGAAAAAAAAATATTATAACTCGTTTTATTCCAGCGCACGCGCGTATACCATAATGATCATGCACCTTTAGTTTAACCCATGTGATCTTGATCAGACGGCCATAGGCCAAGTCTGCACCATAGACCCATACTCCCTCACCACACTCAATCCATCAGACCCTCCAGGTTTGTGTAATGGGCCAAGCCCATTAATTCTAACACCCCCCTTTTGCTATATTACTAAAACCACAATACAATTCATACCCCCTTGTCTGAACTATTTTGGGGCCTAGCCAGATTCTTAATAACCACACCCCCCTGCTTTTACTTGTTAGTTAGAAATTGCACCCCCTTGAATTTTATTTATTTATTTTATTTTATAATTTATATATTATTTCTAATTTTATATATATATATACATATATATTATTTATTTATAATAATCATTATTATTATCAAATATTGTTTTATTATTATTATTATTATTATATCATAATTATTATATTTGCTATTATTATTATTTACTATTCTTATACTTTATTTGCTATGTAAATATTGCTTATTGCTTATAAATAATTATTTATACTAATAAATAAATTATTTTTTATATCAAAATTACATATATTATTTTCTATATTATTTGCATCAAATATTTTTAATCATGCATTAATCAAGATCTTCGCAATTTAACACAATAAAAAACACTAACAAATATCAAACTATTTTTTCGCAACAAACGAAACTAATCAATTGTTTTTGCAAAAGGGTTTAAACTAGTTTTGACTTACTGCGCATTTAGTCAAAATCTTCGCAATCACTATTCTTGGCCAAGTGCGAGGTGATTCAAAATACGTTTGCAACTCCTAAAAAACACCAACCCCATACGAACTACGGATTGGGACTCTGATTCCTCATAAGAGGATACGTAGGCATACGATCAAAAATCGTAGCGAGTTCCCCTATAAAATTATGTAAACCCTTCCCCCTAATTAAAATTTAAAACCTTATTTTACCCGAACCTAAACCTAAAACCTAGTATCCTTGTGAACAAGGTAGATGAAAGGTTCCTAACACCTTCCTTTCGTCTAATGAAGTCCGAAACCTAGAATATCTATCATCGAATTAGGGTTTCCTATTAGATGCCCTTCCCTAGGATAAAAATTAATAGTGGCGACTCTGATTTAAAAACCAGACGCAACAGATAGGTACTAACTCGAAAACTAAGGATAGTGTAGTAACACATTCTTCTTTTGCAGTCATAAATATCCTTCCTATACAAACCAATCTGCATTACGTTATTATGCTTAAGCCTAATTTACTCATCTTATTTCCGTCCCTTTTTATTAAAGCACAATCACATTAAGCTCGTTATCTCTACACACTCATAGTAAGGCAACCGGTTAGTGACTCTAATCCTTTTTGCACGGGGTTCCGGTAATTAAGTGGCATAACCCCTTATTTACCCTATTGTAGTTGCGGGGGATCAGACCGTAATCCACCCTACCAAGTTCAACACTAGATACCTCTGAACCAACCAACAACATGTGTTATTATTATGTTTTTCCAGGTTGCACATTTGTTGGGTTAAGTGACATGGTGTGAGTCACCCAACTTAAAGGTGCATTCCCTATTTTAATTTAATTAATTTATTAAAATTAGAATCATTTAGTTATTTTAATCGGCTTCTCTACGTAGAGTGTGTGTGAGATGGTGTTGGATGCTAAGATAAACTACTTTAGGACTATTTAGGGTGAGATTTCAAGGTTGCAACATAACATGTATCCACAATTATCTATATAATTAGGTGACTTACAGTGTTAAAACGATGTTGATCTTTTACGAATTTTCCCAAGTCTGCATAACCTAACCTTAGCTTGTTTATTAGCCTGAACATTCAAAATAAAACTTGTTTTCTCTTTTTCAAAATTTTCTAGTATGGCTCAAGAAATGGTAGAATCGATAACAAACACAAAATCACTCATAAAGACTCGACAACACATACAAAAGACTCGAATAAAACACTAAAAGAAAGAAAAATCCTAATAGCACACAAAGCTAAGAAAAAATAAAACTACCTAGAAAGCGATAAATGAAAGCGATAAAACTTCCTCCCCCACACTTAATCCAATCATTGTCCTCGATGTTTTGTTAAAAGGTGAAAGAAGAAGGTAGAACATGTGCACTACTGATGGCTTACATGGTCATTTCCTCCTTGGTCCTACCCGTAATTATTGTGTTATGGTGTACGACTCCTACTACAGCTTCGGGATGTACGTGTCAAGGACATTTGCCTAATTTTCTCTGCTAAAGCAGCGTTGGACTCTTGTATGCCTTGAATATTCCCTTTCATAGCTTCCTAGTTTGAAAACATTGTGTCAAAATTGCACTGAATTTTTGCTTGTTGGTGCTGAAACTTCAGAGTCGTGGGAGCTTCGTTGGCTAGGATCTGTTGTAGCATTTTCTCATAGGAGTTTCTATCGGAAGATGTACCTGTAGAAAAGTTAGAGAAACCAGGTGCAGTGTATGCTTATGTATCATGAATAATTAGTAGGTTGATCCTGCTCCATCTGATCATACTCATCATCTGTCTGATTGCCCTCATTTTATAGGGTTGGCTGGCCCGGTTCAGCGGCGTTCAGATCATAGATCTAATTATCCATGTTTTACACATCAATGCGAGTTAGGTTGGGGAAAATTACACTTTTCACCTCACGGCTTTGTACCATCAAATAATAATTACCTGATGACCTATTTTTAATTAAACGTATAATTCAGCAAGTGCCAATATCAAGGAATGATGTTTCAATAGGCTATAGAGTTGCTAGCTCAGCATCAAGGTTCAGAGCACAGGATATGGAAGTAATTAAACCTCCAAAATAAATGGGACCATGGTTTTTAGCATAGAAACTTTGCATATGTGCCTGCATAAATGGGGTTGCATTAACCCGTGTCTGTGTGATGGCACTGTGGATGAAAAAAAACTCTTTTGAATTTAATTTCCCATTGTTAACTCGAGCAAAAATGGTATTTGCCAAAATACGACGTAAGTAGCGGATAGTTGAGTTATGGATATGGGTGGATTTTAGCCCCTCCCAATCATCAGTGGATTCCCCAGTTAAATCCCTCTAAAATAGAAATGCATCCAATTGCCATTGCCCTTCCAAAGGGCTTTCGCTCGTTATGCCATCCCCGTAGGAGAAGCAAAACATGGCACCAATTTGGTTCTAGATCCGTTCATATTCCCTATTAAACATTTTGAATTTTACGGTGCCTACAGTGTATTGACTCATCATAGGTGTGAGATACTGAAAGGAACTAAGAAACTCCAATGTCAGTCTAGTGTAAGTAGGATTGCAAAGTGAAAAAAAATTAGATAATCCTAATCTATCAAGCATTAAGCATACACTATTATGTAACCCTAAACTACATAAGCAAGTTTCATCAGCATACCTTATCGGACGAACCATCCGGTCGAACAACTTGATATACTGTTTCCTCTTATGCTTACCATCATCATTGTCTATGAATATGATGTCCATGAAGTCCAGTGGTGACCTCTCTAAAGCTTGTTTTCTTTCTACTCTTAGACGTATAATGTTAGATTTTTGGAATTTGGGGGTTTGGAGAAATTAATGGAAGATTGAGTGAATTTATGGAGAAAGAGCTGTGAGAATGGGATTTAAATAGTGTGGGAATGGTGAAATTGGAAGTTGGAAGGTGTGGGGATGGGATTGAATCGTTTTAGTGGATGAGGAAAGAGAGATAATGGAGATAATGGTGTTTGAATGGGGAAAATGAGTAGGAGGTTATTAATATTCGTATTTTCTACCTCTGGTATAGGCATGGCGAACGCCATTGGGCCATGGCAAACGCCATGGACGTTGAACTGGTCTGCTAATAAATTTTAGAATCATGGTAAATGCCATGATGTGGTGGCGAATGCCACAGGCCTTAAGTGCACAATTTTAACTTCCAGACCAAGAAAATTGATTTTTTAATGGATTTTGGAGAGCTTTTAAGGCCAAAATTTTGTGATGAATTCATTTTAGTGAACCTGGCCTTAGAAGAGTCAAATTAGAAATAAAGAATAAGATAAAATAGAGTTAGTGACTAAAATAAAAATTGAAAGATTGGAATAAAAAATAGAAATGTCATTACTGAAATAGGAAATCATGGGTTTCCTCCCATGCATCGTTATATTTTATGTTGATAGATCGACAAAATAAATCAAATCCTAATCTAGAAAGCAGGAAATAAACAGAATCAAATCTTTATCTAGAAAACATAGTCAAATCCTAATTAGAAAACGGGAAATTATTTTTCTCCCCCACACTTATATTGAGCAGTGTCCTCAATGATCTAGTGTGAAGAAAGAATGTGTTAGAAACAGTCATAGATCATCCACTATGGAGGTGAGTCTCAGGATCCATGTGTCTGTGGATAGAGTAAAGCTCCTGATAAATGTGATTAAACTACTCATGAGCCACATCCATAAAACCATGAAATTTAAGGCGAATGGCAGTGATATCAGCTCTAAGAGTAGTAACTTCATTCCTAAGGACTTCAAGCACAACAATATTGTCAATGGGAGGAGGAACTTTGGCAGTAGAGGCACAAGAAGAGATACCAGAGAAGTACACTTGGTGATATTTTGGAGCAGGGTGAGTGGCTGGAGAGCTAGGTGTCTCATTCTGGTTCTCTAGTTGGTGTCGCCAGTTGTCAAGGTTATGGACACTAGTAAACTCAGGGTTTGGTAAGGTAAAATGATAGACAACTTCATAATTAATGAGATTTTTGATTTGTTTAGGTCCCTCTCGCCCTATTAAACTCGTGTTGAAGCAATGGTCAATATCTAGAAGATTGTAACCACAAGCAAAGGTTAGGTGAGCTACACGGTTGTGTAGGCCTAATGATCTAATTCACCCTGCACGTCTACATCATCAGGTACTTCAAAGGAAATGTGAGGGCCATGCTGAAATGTAAGGAGTGATGTTAAATCTCTACTATTGATACGATAATCCTATCCAAAAAGTCTAAAGGTGTCTAAACCTCTATTGAGTCCAATTCCAATGTGAGGTTGGAAACAGACAGAGCTCAAAAATTCCAATGTTAGGTTCCTGTAGGTTGGGTGTTTCACAACTGAAAACATGTCCCGACTCATCTGGGTAAACATAAAGCGGACACTGTCCACTATTCCTAGATATACTAGAGAAGGAAAGTATGGGTAATGGGTAGGTGAAATAGTTCTCTCAGCTAGGGTTTCAAAGCGCCTTCTCTGAGCATAGTTCTTGAAAATGATCCTTATCTCATTAACTGTATGCATTCTCTCAGTAAGTTAGTAGGAAAAAGTTAGCTTAGGAAATAATGTAACTTGAAAGGAGACATAAATTAAGTTAGTATTGATCAATGAACTAAATATACCACAATATTAATCGAGAAATAATTTAGTAGAAATAAAAAAATCGTGGGTTGCCTCCCACGTAGCGCTTCATTTAATGTCGGGAGCTCGACATAATTTTTGTTATGACTAAACCTGTTGGGGATCGGGTAGCTCCTCTATTCTTAAACTATCATGATAATCGATATTGTTAACATAATGATAATATTTAAGTCGCTTCCCATTCATGATGAATGTCTCGTTAGATTTACCCTTAATTTCAATAGCTCTATTATGGAATAATTTTAATATCACAAAAGGTCCAGACCATCTAGAGCGGAGTTTTCCTGGAAAAAGTCCTAATCGAGAGTTGAAAAGAACAACCAGTTCACCCTCTTAGAAATATCTTCTAGCTATGCGCTTATCATGTCATTTTTTAGTTTGATCTTTATAGATTTGGGTATTATCATAGGCATCTAATCTTAACTCCTCTAGCTCATTTATATCTAATAGACGTGTTTCACCAGCAGATGAGTAATAGATATTGAGGGCTTTAATGGCCCAATATGCCTTATGCTCAAGTTCAACCGGAAGGTAACAATATTTTCTGTAGACAAGTTTAAATGGTGCAGTGCCTATTGGTCTCTTATAAGCTGTCCTATAGGCCCACAGAGCTTCGTGTAGTTTAGATGACCAGTCTTTCACAGATAAGGCGACCATTTTTTCTAGAATTTACTTAATTTCCCTATTATAAATTGTTGTACTCCAAAATTTTCCCTCTCATGTTTCCCAAGATTTTTCTCTTATATGGGTGGTTACAAACACCTTCCTAAAGAAAATGAAATTTTTAAATGTTAGCAAAGTGTCTTTCGATTAGCAGTTAAATAGTGCCCTTCGATTGGCATAACAACAAGCTTCTACTAGGCTCCTAAAACCCTTTGACCAAGCATTGGCCCATCAGCTTTGAATGTGCGTTGGTTCCCCTTCAAACAAGCCTTGGTCCAAGCTTCACAAGCAAGAATCCTCTATAAGTTTTCTTTGATTCACCAGCAGCGAACTCCTGTATACAAGCTTCGATTGGGCGTCGAATCTCCTTCGATCAAGCTTAATTCACAAAGCTTCCTCATGCTTGCCTTGGTTTCACAAGGCAAAGACCCATCAGCTTGTCTTTGATCTACAAGACAAAGGGATACTTCAGACATGCCTTCGATTCACAAGGCAAAGGCCCCCTCTTCAGCTTGCCTTCAACACACAAGGCCAAGACTCATTTAGATTTGCCTTCAATCCATCAGGCAAAAGGCTTCCTTCGACCCACAAGGCATTAGCTGCCTTTGTGCCAACTTCGACTGGGCAATGGTCCCCTTTGAAACAGTTTTCCACACTTCGACACGCATGATAGTCCCTTCGACGACACATTTATGTTGTCCCTTCGAAGAAGCATTCATTGGTCCATTCGAAGGACACATGACTATTGAAAACAAGTTTGCATTGTGATGAGTCTTGGTCTAAGATGCTTGCTGGCTAAAATCATACGCGCTGCCAAGCCCAAACCCCCTGCACAAGCACATTCCTACTAAAGGAAGCTTCGACTGACCAAAATAAAGTCTTTCGATTGGGCTAGTTGAGTAGTGTCAGAGAAATCGAAGAGAGCGAATTTAGGGGCTGATCAAAGAAGCCAGAATGCTGAGACTTTATACAAATCGAATCAAGATCCAGAGTCATCAAAAAGGACAAATGCTTTGACAAAGAGAATTCTGGGCAATTCGAATTAATGCAGATATTAACTTAATTAAAGAAACAATGATAAGGGAAAACTCTGAATTCAGAGTCATCAAAGATCTGAGCAATTAGAATTGATATGGATGGACTCCATCGAAGGAGCTGAATCAGAGCCATTTGAAGGAGGCAATCAGAGTTATTCGAAGGAGGGCATTCGAAATTCAAATGTGTCCAGGTTCATAGAAAATTCAAAAAGGGACAAGAAACCATGTCTTTGGCAAAGTTTAAAAGTGATATTCATAGCCTTAAAACACCAACTTAATGGCTGTTTATTCCTTTTCCCTCTTGTCCCCTCCATCCCCTCTATATAAGGAGCACACTAGAAAGCTCCAAAGAGGCAAAAAAAACATCTCAAGGAGTCACACGAAAGTTTCCAAAAAAATAGCAAAGTTATCAAAATCCAAAAACCCAATTCCAGTCCATTTCAATCTGATTCAAAGGTTCCATCAACATTCTGAGGTTCCCAGGATTCATTCCCAGCCCTCATTCAAGCTATCACACGCCTAGAAGTGCCAAATCGGAACCACCCTTTTTGGTAAAATTTTCAAATTTGTATCTCTAGTTTTATGATATATTAATGCCTATTGATGTTTGATTCGTGCTCAGGATGATTCATAGGACAGGTTTGACGTAAGGTATTTGTGCTTTGAGGCTTAAAAGCCAACTTGCCATTGTCAGGGTCCTGAAGCTGTTAAGCTTCGATCTGGGCGTTACAGTTACTTTTAGGCTAATCTAAATCCAGATTCACAACCAGAACATGATTTTACATAGGATATGACTCTTGGTTTTGCTTTAAATTGTGTATTTTTTCAGGAAACGAGCTTTGGATTGGCCGGAGAAGGTGATCGGAGGTTTGGCTCCGGTCGCTGACTCTGGCAGCTTGATTGTCTTCCTCTCATTGGCTCACGAAGGCCAGCGCGCGCGCTTTTATTTTTTTTAAATATATTTGACATTATTTCACATATAATGTAATGCTTTGGTTATAACACACGAATTGCAAAGCAGCTCAATTGGTAAAGGCGCGCATGTGTGAAGGAGAGGCCCTGGGTTCGAATCCCATGTCCAACATTTTTACCATTTCTAATGAATTATATGCAGATCCAGTGCTCCTCATGGCCTATTGCACATCATACATCATCATATCCAAGCCACCAGAAGCATTTCTAATCCAAGTCAAAGCATCCAAGCGCACAGTATATCATATGCCTTCAAGACTTGTCCACACAGGATTAGGAATGAAGTCTAGGCTTCACAGCTTTGGGCCCAGCGAATTTCAAACAACACCCCCTATTTTTCTTTTTCTATCAGGCCCATCTAGCATTTTTATTGTATTGTTGTAGTTTTATTTATTTTTGTTTTCTTTATTTACTAATTAAACAAATA